TATTTACCTGCATATGTATTTTCAAAAGAGTGTATTTCCTTATATTTTCAGCTGCAATTTTTTTAAATACCTTTTTTGGCATAAACAGTGTAATATTCTTGGTAGGGATGAGCTCAAGTTTCGGTCTGTACACAAGTTTACACTGAACTGTGGCTGTTAAGGCATTCGATGGGAGATAAATGTCATATATAAAAGTGATATTGCTTACACATGACAGCTTCCCTGTATCAATGGTTGTTAAAAATGCCATGGGGTGTAGGCACTGCAGAGTCCTTAACAACCAGTGACATCATTGCCTCCATTCACTTACATGACTGGAAATCCCTGGCTTGTAAACAAACAGGCAGGGAGAGTTTATTAAAAAAAAAAAAAAAAAGTGCGATGGTCTCTCTTTTTTCATACCAGACCTTTTGGGCCTGATATGGATTTTAAGGTGAACCTCAAGCAAATGAAAAAAAGGATGAGGACCCTACAGATCAATACCAGACCCTAGGGGGTATTTACTAAAATTGGTGCATTCAGAATCTGGTGCAGGTGTTCATGGTCAGCTTCTAACTTCAGCTTGTTCAATTAACCTTTGGTAATAAAACTTGGAAGCTGATTGGTTTCTATTCAGAGCTGCACCAGCTTTTGCACAATGCAGTTTTAGTAAATAACCCGCTCCTGAATGCTGCAGCCAAGACATATTTCATGCATTCACTTGTCACCTGCGGAATGACAAGTCAGATGGATGACAGCTGTTATATACAAGGGTACGGGGGTCTCGCAGTTGACATCATTAACCCTATATGGACATGACTGTATATGGTCAATGATATCACTAGGCAGGTATGTCTATGGGATGCAACCTGGCACACCCATTAGTAAGTTCCATAAAAAAATAAATCTTCAAAAGATTTAACTTTCCCTTAGAAAATATTTAGGGTTGTTTACTTTCCAAAATGAGATCATTTTTCTGGTGTTTCTACTATTCTGGAACTCCAGGGCCTCTGAAAATGTGATAGCTAGTGGGGAAATCAGATTCATAGTTTATGTCCATTCAAAGCCTGAAAGTGGTTAGGCAGTGAAAAAGTCTCACATATGTAGTTTGTCCTTACTCAAGAGAAGTAACAATGTTTTTTGGAGTGTGATAGTAAGCATCCCTATGAGGTGTGTGAGAAAAACTTGTTAAATTTGACTACTTTGTAAAAAAAAATTTTATTTCACTTTCTTCATTTTCAAAAAAACTCTTACTAAACCTTTGTACTTCCTTTTTAGAGTTTCAGGAAATGCAATAGGCAGTTATAGCAACAGTTAAAAAATGTCAAATATATTTATGTGTAGCACCCTCCTAGTTTAGCTAGGAGGGTGCTAGTGTTTAATTGGTAGTGAGGAAGAAGGTAGCAGTCTGGGTGTAATAGCTAGAAGGTCAAATCATGGTCAGGAGCTGAGAGGCTCTTCAGGCCAGCCCCTCTGAAATTTTTCCCTGCTCTAGTTTCCTTTGGCATCCTGTACATTGCTAACACTATCCCAGTTCAAATCCCCTAAATAAAACAACAAAACCGAAACTCAAGGACTGATTTCTGACTCAGGATGCAAGCCTGTGTTAAGATGCGTGTTGCCTGGCTGTGCAGGACTATAAGGGGACCCAAATCTTCTAGTGACTCCTAAGGGGTAGTGCTACATATATATATATATATATATATATATATATATATATATATACACACCATAGTTTGTAGACTCTAATTTCCACATAGGCTAAGTAAAATACATTTATTTGTTTGGTTTTATTTTTACCAAAGAAATATAGCAGAATATTTTTTTTTTCCTTTCATACAGTACAAAATAAAAATCTCTGTGGTTATTAAAACCACCAAAATAAATCTCTATCTGCCCCAAAAATGATATTGTATAACACCAACTTGGGTACACTGCTGCATAACTGTCATTTAAACAATCATGACACTCAAAACTGAATAATGGCCTGGAAAAGAGTAAGGTGTAACAAGCTGTTATTGAGGTGGTTACATAGTATTCAAAGAAGACCTCAAAAATATAGGATGAACATAAGTTGGAAAGTATCTTGAAAGTATTGTATAGTAATTTCAGTTTCGTTCTTTGATTGGAAGCCAGTGTGGAGACTGGCAGAGAGAGGCAGTAGAAGTGGTAGAAATGTCTTGCAGCATTCATTCCTATTATTTGAAGACTGAACAAAAATGTTGCAGTAGTGAGTGTTAAAAATTGTAAGGCTATGGAGAGGAACTTTAGCAATGTCTTCAGTTAGCAAACAACATATCATGGAGATGATGTGCAAATGAAGTCAGCAAATTTGTGAGGTAGGTAGAATGACAATACTATATACAGTTAGGTTGATGTCAATTACTGTTTTTTTGGAAATAAAGGCAGATAGGTCAATTAGCAAGAGTGGACATTAAAATATATATATACTGTGACTGGGAGAAAATGAATCTTGAGAAAACAAGGAAGCAATACTTTCCAACTTCCCTTATCAGGTGGCATGTCTTATATAAGTGTAAGTTGTGGGAGCATATACTTAACAATACTGCTAAGTGCAATTACTGTAGGGTCATGGGCACTTAAACATGTGGCCTTACAGGGACAAGTCATAACAGTTAAAAAACCTCAATTTGCCATTTGTCCAAGTTGGCAGCTGCGGGGAATCTCAGGGAACAGGCCCTGCGTGACTAATTTAGTGACAATTGATATATAGATAGTGTAAAGGGAACAGGCTCAATTAATAGTGACAGCAGCAACTATGAATGAGACAATGATAAAGTTTATCCTGCACTGTTATTCAGCAAGGCAAAAACACAATTTTAGAAGGCTTTGTACAGCAAGGCCATAGCTCCAAAACAAAGAGAACATCTTCTGGCCCAAGCTACTGACTAACAAGGTGCACCTCTAATGGGTTCCCCAAATCAAACAAAACAAGTAACTTTTTAGCATTCTGTTAGTAGTCAGGTATTCTCCCAGCAGCAGAGAGAGAGAGAGAGAAAGAAAGAGACCCTAGCAAAGGTCAGCTCAGATTTAAAAAGCTGTGTGGACAGCTGACTAATTAGTGAGGTCTGGCTAATTGAAAAAATTGTGGACCTAGAACCAAAGGACTCATCCCACCCAAAACTCTAAAAATCATCCAGGTTCCAAGACCCAGACCGGAAGTTATTAAAATCTGATAAACAACAAAGTTTGTTTCCTCCATAGCAGACACAAACCAAGAGTCATTTATCATGTGTAGGTGAGAAACCTAGGTGAAACAAAAACAATGCCCATAATTTTGTATCATATTAAATAGATACTGTATAGGGAAGAACTTAGTGGTTGGTCTTAATGTTAGTTTTGAAAGGCATTCATCCAACCACCAAACATTTTGGGCAATGATGTCACCACTATCAACACATCTTCCTTTATAAAGCCAATGACAGCTCAAGGATCTGTTACTGTTAATATGTTACCGTCGAGGATCAATTGTGTGTGCGTGTGTGGTGGGTCAGCAAGTCAGCAGCAGTAGGAACTTTCCATTTGGGTGTCTTTATTTCTAGGTTACACCTAGAGTGTCTTTATTTCTAGGTAGCTTTATTTTTAGGTTACACCTTTTATTTGTGAATGATTAGGGGTACTATGTACTCCATGCTCATTCACACAGGAGGAGAAGTATCGGGGGGGGGGGGTACCTTAAGTTTTAAAAGGAAATTTCAGATTCAAATAAGCCCCCCCCACACATGCAGACCCCTACAACAACTGGGCAAGGGTTGAGAGGATGAGGCCCTTGTCCTCATTAACATGGGAAAAAGGTACTTTGCAAGGGAGAGCCACCCCTGGAAAGACATCTCCACATGTTGAGATTATATGGCCTGGTATAGGTTACAAAGAAAAAAAATTACAGTATAGTTTGCACATAGGCCCCTTCAAAGTTCCCCAACAATACACAACAGAATCTTATGGATTTGCTATGTATTTTGCGGTGTGTGGACTGCTTTTTCTTAAAAAAAAAAAAAAAAAAAAAAAAGCAGCATGGAATTTTTTTTTTGGTATGTGTTAAAAGAAAAAAAAAGCCTAATGGAATTTCTTTTTTTTTCTTTTTTGGTACTTGTTACCCAGAGGCGTGCCTCCCATGCTATTTTTGACACCACCTTGTTTATTAGCCATGAAAATGGGCATTCTTAATTTGACATATTTGACTCAGTAGGGGGTTCAGTTTCGATATCCATATTTCTTTGAGGGCTTCAACCCTTCCCCACTGTATCTAAAACTGAAAAAAGGGTCCTAACCCTTCATTTCTGTATTCAAAATTTAAAAAGCACTCTAACCCTTCCATACCATATTCAAAACTGAAAAAAGAGCTCTAACTCTTCCCCACTGTGTCTACAACCATAACAGCATTCCAAGCCTTCTCCCAAGAACTGGACATTATGTCTCTTAGGCTGTTCATACACTTTACAGTCTACTGCCATCTTTGTACAATCTCCTTTAACCACTAGCCTACAGGGCACTTATACCCCCTTTCTGCCTAGGCCAATTTCCAGCTTTCAGCGCTGTCACATTTTGAATGACAATTGCACGGTCATGCAACACTGTACCCATATGAAATTTTTAGCATTTTTTTGTGACAGATAGAGCTTTATTTTGGTGGTATTTAATCACCTCTGGGTTTTTTATTTTTTCTTAAACAAACTAAAAACCACTGAAAATTAAAAAAAAAAAAACATGTTTTTTCTTAGTTTTTGTTATAACATTTTGTAAATAAGTGATTTTTCTCCTTCACTGATGTGTGCTAATGAGGCTGAACAGATGGGCACTGATAGGCTACACTGATGGACACTGATAGGTGGCACTGATGGGCACTGATGAGGAGGCACTGGTAGGTGGCACTGATGGGCATTGACAGGTATCACTGATGGGCACTGAAAGGCAGCACTCATATATGGCACTGATAGGCAGCACTGATAGGTGGCACTGTTAGGTGGCACTGACTGGCACTGTTAGGCGGCACTGACTGGCACTGTTAGGTGGCACTGACTGGCACTGTTAGGTGGCACTGATAGGCAGCACTGACAGGCACTGATAGGCAGCACTAATGCACACTGATAGGCGGCACTGACTGGCACTGATAGGCGGCACTGACTGGCACTGATAGGTGGCACTTATTGGCAGCACTGATAGGTGGCACTGACTGGCATTGATAGGTGGCACTGACTGCACTGATGGGTGACACTGAAAGGCAGCTCAGATGGGCACTGATATGTGGCATTGACGTGGCACTGTTGGGCACTGAAATGTGGCACTGGGCACTGACAGGTGGCATGGATGAGCACTGAGAGCTGGCACTGATGGACACTGACAGGTGGCACTGCTGGGGCTATACAGATCATCAGGGCACATTGATCATCAGTGCTCTGATGATCTGTGTACATGTTCCCTCCAAGGAATGCTGATTACCGGACACAGCTGTGATTGGACACAGCTGATCACCTGACCGAGCCAACATCTTCTGCTCTTTCTGTGGATCGGTGATCCGCTGTGTCCGAGGGACACAGCGCACCGTCGATCGCTGCGCTGCGCGCTCCGGGAGCCGTGCATGCACGGTTAGAATGGGAGGACATCATATGACGTCCTCCCAGAACGAGAGAACTGCCTTGCATCCGTCATTTTACTATATGGTGGGCGAGAGGTGGTTCAATTTACCAAAACTATGTAATATGAGGACAAACCTAAGCAATCGTTTGATATATCAAAAAAGGCAGACCCTTAAACCACATAGTTGATGGTAGTTCTAAATGAGATTGCATAATCAAAGTGTATAGTCGAAGCTTAGTAGCAGTGCATTTTGCCTGCCTGAGGGTGCCTGTGCTTGAGAGAACCATGCAATATACACTCACAATAGTGTGAACCTAGGCTAAAAGTGAAAAAAGGGCTCTAACCCTTCCCCACTGTATTCAAAGCTGGAAAAGGTTTGTAAACATTCCCCACTGCATCCAGCATTGAAAAAAGATCCTAAGCTTTCCCACTTTATCTAAACTAAAAAGCTCCTGCATTCCATACCAAAAAAGCATCATTGAAGGATATTGCAATGTTAAGTAACAAAATGATGTCATCATCAAAATCAGTTGTAAAGCTTGAGATGCAACAAAGTAAACAGTCATGAAGAAAATCCTGTTCCGAAGTATTTTTCTTTTCTTAGAATTTGTTGCAGCTAGGAATATAGTTTACACTGTACTGTAGATGAGAATTCCTTAGTATATTCATACAAATGAAAATATGTTCAGTATTTTTATTTTAATTTGCTGGAAGTGGTAATAAAATCCTACACAACTTTCAAATCAAGTCGGTAAGATGACTGAGATAATGATTATGCAGTAACTGTATTTAAACTAAGTATGTAACAGTATTCATAATGCTTGCAACAAGGATACCAATTACTGTCATTTGTAAAGATTAGATTCAGTCTTGTTCACACGTTTCAGTAATCTAAAATACACAGTGCAAGATTTAAAGGAAGTTTCCCGATTAAAAACAAGAAAGTTGAAAAAATAAACTCAGTTGTGCACATTTATGAAAATTTTTGTGTTTGAATTCCTTTTTAAGAGAAAAAAAGGTACTGTTCATAGGTATAGAAAATTGTGTTGTAAAATGTTTGTGAGAGGGTATTACAATGCAGCAAAAGTACCAGTGGTTCATAATGACTGATGGAATTGAATGCCAGTCTCACTCAATACCAGTTCAGGTAAACTTGTTCAATTGGTAGCACAAGTTACTAATCACACGGCAGCAGCTCAATGCATATAGGCATCTAGACATAGTGAACACGACTTACTGAAGTTCAAACTGTACATCAGAATGGGGAAGAAAAGGGATTTAAGTGACTTTGAATGTGGCATGGTTGTGGGTGCCAGACAGGCTGGTCTGAAAATTTAAAAAAATGGCTGGTCTAATGGGATTTAAAATGCACAACCATCTCTAGGGTTTACAGAGAATGGTATTAAAAAGAGAGCAGCAGTTGTGTAGCTGAAAATGCCTTGTTGATGTCAGAGGTTAGAGGAGAATAGGCAGGCTGGTTCAACATGATAGAAAGGCAACAGTAATGTCAATATGGACCAAAATCCCTGAGGAATGTTTCCAACACCTTGTTGAATCTTTGCCACAAAGAATGAAGGCAGTTCTGAAGGCAAAAGGGGGTCCAACCTGTTACTAGCAAGGTATACCTAATACAGTGGCTGGTGGATATATAAAGCAAAGTATTTTACCTAAGGAAACCTAATTATTTTCTCAAAGATGGTTTACTCAGCCTGACTCTGAAAGTGGATTGTCAGCTTGTTGACAGGCCAGTAAGCTTGCCTGCCAATAGATAGCTCTGGTAATATTTGGTTTGGTACTGTAAGGGGAAAGTTGTAGGCAAGTTTTAGCTCCCTATTAGAGAAATTCCTCCTCTAGTGATGTAATGGGTGGAGTTAGTGCCCATATAAAAGCCAGTATGGGAGGGGCCCCTGCAGAGAGTCCAGATTATGGGAAGAGCTACAAAGATGTAATCCGGTACTGAGCTGATCTAAAGGGCCCTCTGCATGGCTGAATTCCCATGTGAGGTGTAAGCTATAGTGACTATAGCTATAGAAGCTATAGTCACGCTGTCTCCCCTGACCTTCTTCTGTAGGTCCTGTAGCGGGGTACAAAAGCCTTGGAGGACTGGCTAGAGTCTTCTTATGTGACTAGTGGTGGTACCTGGGGATGAGTATGTAATATGCGTGTGTGCATGGCTGGGCATTGCTATAGAAGGGACCTTGGGAAGAGATTGGTATACTAATGAAAGCACCTTGTTTCCCCTGACCCTCAGCTGTGGATCCTGTGACTTGGTGATGGAAGGACCTAGTATACATAGAGAAGTGGTCCCAATTATGTGGTGTTCCCAAGGAGAGGAATGGAGAGAGAGGGAAGATAGCTTAAAGAACTTGTAAATCCAACATTTCATACTGATATGTGCCTATTGTACCATGTACTTGTATGAAAAAGTATTCTGTTCTCTTTGTATTGCTTCCTTTGTGTGAAATACCAAGTGTTCTGACAGTCCCTCTGTTTTCCTAGTAAAAACTGACCACACTAGCCATGAGAGCACAGTGCAGTCAGTTCTCTCGCTATGCTGGGAACTCAGCATGCTTTCCTCCAATGACCAGGCTTGTGTGTCACAAGTTAGCCTGCAGCTTCTTGTGTGTTTATTCTTACCTCCTTGCTGCTCCTGATTTCTCACATGTGTGTTTGTCTGTGCTCACCTGTGGGCATCGTCTGCTATTCCCTGGGTTTTATGTCCTTCCCTTCTATCACTTCCTGGGCCGCCTCCTAGTTGGCTTGTCTACCTAAGACATGCTCAGTCTGTCCCACTTTCCCTGAGCAACGTGTTGTTGTCGGAGCTCCCTTGTGTTTCTACTGAGAATCCTTTATAGTCTATCTGTGTACCGTCCCCGGCTTAGTTTCTGACATTGCTCCTATATAGTCTATCTGTGTACCGACCCCGGCTTCGTTCCTGATATTGCTAGCTTTCCGCCTGTCCTGACCTTGGCTTGCTTACTGGATTTCCTGTGTCTACTCCCGTTGTACCCTGCTCCCGCTAGCGGTCTCCTCTACCTCTACTGGGTGGACCTGGGGGCCGCGACCTAATCCCAGCCTGCTGCAAGTCCATCCCCACCATCAGGGGCCCTGATGAACAAGCAGGTTGGGGCTTAGACTCTGCACCCTGGGGAACCCCAAGTTGTGGATCAAAGAGCTCACTACCACAGGTGCTGACATTGTGCTCACATGCCCCACCCACCCTGCACCACAGTCTTTCACTGGGATGAACAGTGTACTGCTGTTTCTCCTCAGCTCTCATGTAGATAAGAATGTTAAAAAGACAGGGAAAAAGATATATACAGTATATCCATCCTGTGTTCGTCATAAATCCCAACAGTTTTGTCAGAAAACCTATACATTTTTTTTCAGAATCAACATTTTCTATGGGACACTATACTACAATATACTCCCACAAATGCGGGCCATTGATTGCAAACAAGATTTGTTAATTTTCACACACAAAAATTTACTTTTCTTAACAAATTAATTCAAGACCACGTTGCAAAAATGAATACACCCCAACAAAAGCCTTAGGAGCAAAGGTAAATTTTAGACAACAAACTCCTAATTAACAAAAATTCAACTACGGGTGAGTCTAATTATTCATTAAACAGGTGTCCAGAAGACAGTTGATTACAAAAAGGGCGTTACTTAACAAAGAAAACCCTTTCCCATTTCATGCTGTCGGCAATGGCACCACATGGAAGAGAAATGTCACAAGGAATGAGAAAGAAAATAATTTATTTACACAAGAAAGGTGAAAACTACAAGAAGATCAGCAAAGATTTGCTTATCAGTTAGAATATTGTAGCAAAAGTGCTAAAAAAATTTAACAAAGATGAAACTTCAACCATCTCACAGAGACATCCAGGCCGTACACGGAAGATAACACCTCGACAGGAGCATCTTCTTACAAGAAGGGTTAAAGAAAATCACCATGCAAGTTCACTGTAGTTAGCAAGTTCACTAAGTTGAACCTGAAGTTTGTTGGTGTGCTCTGGAACTAGTATCTGGGCTGGCAGCCTTTGAACAGGTAAAAGAGACCTGTTTATTTCCAGCGGCCTCTGTGGGGGTGAGCACTACATTAGCAAAGACAACATTTGACAGCTTTTTTGCAGTTATGCCTATTCATGCTTTACTGTCTTGGCATGCTACCCTAAAGGGGTAAATAAACATTTAATGAAAACCATTTTCTATATGCAGACCACACTGTGTGCCTGTATCTTATGTATTCCATGTTCCATTTTCTGTGCCATAAAAATAATGGACACAAACTGCAATCTAGTGAAAGGGCACTACTGAATTACTATTAGTTTTCCAAACTGGGCCTTGGCAAAGCTGGAAATGTATCAATTTATCTTTCCTCTTTGAATACTGAAAATATTTACAATATTACTGAGGGTTCAAAATCATGGTAGCCCTCCCTCTGTATATAAGATACAGTAATCATTCTACAATGAAAGCATGCAGCTATCTAATTAAATAGGCTACATGAACCTGGATTCAAGAAGTAAAAGATAAGCCAATCCTGTTACAGTCATTTTTGTTGACACGATAATGGAAAGACATGGAAATGGAAAGTCAGCACTCTTGCAGTACATGCTACACACCCAGCAATGCCCACAGGATCATCAGAGTGTAGTCACTGAGATTTTATTAAACAGAACCTGACATAAATACAACCCTAAATAAAAAAATATGTGCTTAGTGCCTACCTGATCAAAAAAGAAAGATTATTGGAATACTCAATATCTGGAAAATAGTCTGGAAATGAGTGCACTGTCTTTTTAAATCATAAATCAAAAATACATCCATAAATCAATAAATATATATGATCAATTCATCAAATAGGTGCAATTTCCAAGCTGAGAAA